CGCGTGTGGAAATTTAAATTCCCCAATATCATAAGGAATATTGAACTTACCTAGATCCTTCCATCTATGAGGGATATTTCTGTGCAATTCAGAATTGCACTTGTTTGATGCATCTACCTATTCACCTTCTTTCTCTTTCTTTTTACCATAGAGGAATTCCTTCATAAAATTAGCATATTTAGGCATTCGTTCCAAAAATTCATTGAAAGGAATACTTACCTGAAGCTTAGCAATCATTTACTTGAACTTTTGAAATATCCCCACCTCCTCTTCCGCCGTTGGTTTCTTTTTAATGATAGGATAATATGGTTTGACATAGTAGGGTAATTCAGGACTAGGGTCATTCAAGATCTGTTTCGTGGTCCTCTTTAAGAGTGAGTTTTTGTCTATCCGCTGATCAATGGTGAATCCTTTCTCATAGGAATCACTTGCATTTTCACTAACTTCCTTATTAATTTCAACCCCTACTTATTTCCACTATCTCATAACTTTGTAACTGTGTATCAAAATAACGTGCATTTTAAAGTGTTAGGAAGCTAACACTCATAACTATAACATAATAGTGATAAGTGAAATGTTTAAATATTATTCCTATGTGTACTATGTTGAGGAAGTTATTGGTTTATATGTTGGTTAATGAATCGTTGCATTGTTGCAATAATGTTCAGTGATAATGATATTGTTATGTTGATAGTGTTATGATAATATTGTTAAGAAGTTGATGATGTTGTGATTATGTGATGTTCATGATGTTGTTATGATGTGATGTTGATGATGTTTTTTATGATGTGATGTTGATGATGTTTTTATGATGTGATGTTGATGATGTTATTGTGATAATGTTTTTAATGATGATGCATGTCCAAATATATATATGATAGGTTTATGGTAGTTATATTGTTGGTGGCATACACAGTTAGAAGATGTGCCAATGTGTATGTGTTGTTGTTGTTGCATGTTTAGAGTCCATGCATTCATGTTTGTCTGAACCTTAGTTATTTATGATGATCCATGATCCTATAGTGATGGATCGGGTGCGAGTAGCTAATTCCTATTATGGGGAGTTAGTGAAGTGTTGCCTATGGTTATGGTGGCGATTTGTTGCGCTCTGATTTCAAGAGGGAATCAAATCTATGGTGGGGATCATGGAGTGAAATGGACCTAAGTGTTCATAATTTGGTACCACGTGCATGTTGAGTCAGTTGTTGAGTACATTTGCATTTGTGTTGTATTTGGTGATTATTTTTGGTGTTATGATGCGTAGATGAGAATATTTGATATGTTCATGTTATTGTAATTGTTGTGTGATGTTGCTAGTTAATGTACTTTCAATTGTCTTTCACTGCTAATTATTGAATTGTATTCTCACCCCTTCTATTTGAATGTTGCCTTTACAAGAGCATCATGCAGATACTCATGAGTAGCATTGATAAAGTAAGTAGAAGACATCCTTGAAGTTACTTCCTTAGTTTATCGTTGTTACTAGTGGTTTCTTGCTCTGATCATGTAACATCGGGTTGAGATAAACACTTGAATTGATTCTTATGTCGTTTATGTCGGAGTTAAAGACCATTTATGTTGTTGATATTTCTAAGTTGTTTTGAGTTGATTGTTATAACTATTTTTGCTCATGCTATGAAATTAACGTTTATGAGACTAATTGACGTAAGTTGCAATAATATTGTAAATTGCTTTATTAATGATTCCGCTACGATGACACCTTAAATAATTGGGCGGCCGTGCAATGATAGGTTATGGATGTATTATTATATGAGTATGTGATACCGATTAGATAAGTTGGATGTCGTGTAAACATCCCAGGTACGATTCATATGAGTTGGATGTTGTGTAATCATCCCAATTACAAATGTGTATCTTTGAACTATTCTTTTGAAACCCGTGTTACGGAGCAGGTCATGTATTGTGATGCATGTAATATCCTATGTTGTTGTATTTATAATTAAATTATTCAATATTTTATGTTCGGGGTTTAGGGTGTTACAATCCCACCTTATGACTCTCTTGTTTCTTATTTATGAGGTTTATTTTGTTTGTCCAAAGGCGTGTTTGAATATATTTGAGGAATATGTGATTCATTGTAGGGACCTTCCAGGCTTCAAATACCAACATGACAGTATTATGGATGTCATATTTGGTATATTTTGGTAGGATGAAGTATCTTTGAAGAAAAAGATGCCTATGAATTTCTTGACTGACCCACATGAGAGGAGATCAACACTTAGGCCAGCACATGTTCTGGTGTACGAGTGGGTAGGAAGAAACCATGCATGTGTGGCCTTAATAGGTATTTCTCCATTGGTGGGACTAAGGATTTGAAGTTTTACTATGGGACAGGCAAACATTAAAGTTTCTTCAAGTAAATTGATCAAATATAAGAAAGAGTGTTCTGACAATTAACATGCTTTCATACCATTTGTCTTTAACACCTTTGATTTCCTAACACTAGAAGCATTGATTCTTTTACAGAGAGTTCAAAGAGTTCAAAGGCTTATGCTTAGTAATATTGCATCTCGTAATGCAATAAATATGATTTTTAAGTGATTTATTTAGCTATGACAAAATTAATGGCACATTGTTACCTTCAATTTCTACACAATCTTTAATATAAATCAAATCCCAACAAAATAAATTTCAAGCTAATGGATTTAGATTCTCCATTGTTTAAAAAATCACAAACATTAAATCGGCTTGTTTCTCACAATAAACACACATTACCCCAACACATCTTAAGAAATTACTATTATCACAATACAAAATAAAATTTCTATATGAAATATTTTTGCATTACATACATAATACATAGTATACTAAAAACAATCTATATGCAATTTTACACATTTATTGATAGATATCACTAGGGCTGGACAACGGGCCGAGTTGAGCAATTTCAGACCCAAAAGCTTCACCCAACCGAACCCGCCGTTGAACAATATAAGCCCAATTCCTCCCATTTTTTTAATCGGTTTGGTCGGGTTGGGTTTTAACGGGCCATAGGTTAATGCAATCGGTTTAATCAGTTTTATATACATTCAACATAAATCAAAATTCATCATACATTCAACATAAATCTAAATCACTACGACATAAATTCAGTATAACATAAATTCAAATTACAATTTAAACAATACTATCAACTACTATCAATGGCATTCTAATAAGAATAACTTCAATACAAAATGTCTTCTGGTTCACAAGAGCAGTGGTTGTCCCAACAAACATTAGAATAAATGTCCCTAAAATAAAGAACATTGTGCTAATTTGCAAAAACATTGAAAAAATTAAGCATAAACAAATAAGATACAACATACACAACAAAGGTAAGATATAATTCAGCATTTCAAATTTATGTTACTACCACTCTAAATCTATCACACTAAATTCAAATTGTTGCACTTATATAACCTTGTTGGAACATGAAATAGTTTGATTAAAAATACTAGTCCAAAAGCATGTTCTGTTTTAGAGCACATAATCAACAAATATGCATTTGACAAAAACAAATCTAGCAAAAGATGTATGTGTAATAATCAGTTTTAAAATGAGAGTCGTCACCCTTATTTTTAATCTTTAGGAAGAGAATATAAAGGATAACCCCAATTTGGCCAAAGATTCTAAGTTGTTTGACTCATTCTTAGACAAAGGGAAGGTATTAGGCACCCCTCATCTACCTTGTTCGCAAGGATACTAGGGTTTAGAATTATAATTTTAGGAAATAGGGTTTTAATTTTTATTAGGGGAACTCGCCACAATTTTGAGTCGTATGCCTACGTATCCTCTTATGAGGAATCAGAGTTCTAATTCGTAGTTCGTAGTGTTTGGTTGGTGTTTTTTATAGGATTGAGTAGAATTGATTTCGAATTATCCTTGAACCTTGTTTGGGTTATAAGTTGAGTGATCCTAAACGCAGTTCGCAGTTAATCTTGAAAGTAATTATATTTAATCCTTTATTCAAAAATGTCTTGGGTTTTATTATGTTAGTAGAAAAATGGTTTGATCGTTGATTAACTACTTTAAGTGTTTCATTGATAAAGAGTATGGTAGGATACAAAGTAATGTGAGGATATTAAGAGCCCCAAATTCAGAAATTGAACTTGACCCATTTACGCACAGGGGTGTAAAATTAAGACTCGATGGTGTATTAAAAAAAATATGGACCCAAAGATATTTTGAGCCCAAATTGGCTGACGGTGCGTTTTGCAATAAAGTAGTCAAATATGAGGATCTGACAAGTGAGGGTCCAAGTTCAGATATTAAAATAGGCCTAAAATATAGGTGAGAGTGTAAACTTAGTTTAGTAATAAAACACAAGAGTGTGTAAGTAGTAAGGACTCTAATTCAGAAATTGAACTTGACCTAATTAAACAGCGGAATTTAATAATATCTTTGTAAAATATTTAATTAATTAATTATGAGAAAAAATTGTTTATATTTTTATTTACAAATAATAAATATTTATTTACATCAACCAAACTAAAAATGAAAGAAATGCTCTCTCATATATTCTAATCGACTATCCTAACAACTTAACGTAACTTTTTTAGAGAGAATAATTAGATTCTAAGTTATCTAAATAAGTGGTCTAAACTAAATAATTAAAATAAATTTGAAATAAATTTTGTAAGCATAATAAGTGCAATTAGTAAATGGAGATAATGATTTATAAATTGATTAAGCACAAAGAAACAAAAGTCCAATTTACCTAATAGAACCCTTCCTCTAACATTGCAATTAACAAAGGAAATAAAAAATACCTGCTGGAGTCCCCACCATCAGCTTCTACTTTTATCACTTTTGAAATTTAAATGGATCCAAAATGACCGTGACAGATGGCGCAAATTTATTGGAAATAGAAAGGAAAAAACAAGGAATGGTAATATAACATTATCATAAACCTAGAATAGAGTAAAAAAAGGAATCCTCCCTTCTCTCACATATCGTCTTTCTCTGTACTAACAAACTCCAAGTTTCTTTCTCTTTATTCATGTTTTTCCTTTCTTCGTTGTTCTTCTCCAATCCAAGGCAAACTGAAACAATAACAGCATACACACAAAACAACATGTATCACAAAAGGAAAACAAAAAGTGGACGAACCGAAACATCGGAGGAGGTGCCGTGGATTTGTGTGGTACTTGTCGGATCTGCGCTCGAGGTGGGTGTACATGGTCGTTGGAGTAACTCGGCGCGATGGGGGCTTCCATGAGCAGCGTTGATGCATCGGAAGCGTAGTCGCCGGCTTCGAGTGGTAATGGAGTTGGGCGCGGATCTGTCTGAAGCTTAAGCTTTCGGCGACTCGTTGGAGCTTTCGGCGTCAATTTCTCTTCTTTTCTACACAATAAGAAAACAAAGAAAACAACACACAATATTTTCATATTTTGTTTTTTACTCTTTTCTTCATGTTTTTTTTTGGATAAAAGTTACAGGTTTTTGGTATTATATCTTTCATTAAAAATTAAAATAAAAGTAGAATTTTTTTTTTAAATAACCATTTTTTTTAAAAAAAATTCTTAAATAACTACATTTTTAAAAATTTTATCAAAATAACCATTTTTCAAACAAATTTTTTTTGCCACACAGAGAGTAGTCACTCTGTGTGGCGCATGCACTCAATTTAAAGAGGAGGCGCCACAATGCATGGTTTGTCCTCCTCTGTAAAACCATGCAGTGTGGCGCATGCATGTGTTTTTGAGAGGAGGCGCCACCCTTCTTGACTTGACAGTGTAATTGCAATTTTTTTAAATGAAATAAAAAAAAACTAAAAATATTTTATATTAATATTTAATATTATACAACACATTAATACATTTTTTTTGAACGTCCCCTCAACCTAAGCGGGTCCCCGTATGACATAAACAGCCGCGCCTTTGCCTCGCCCATTGTCTCACTCCTCTCTGTTGATTTTCCTGAGGTGTTTGTGGTCTGTTCTAATTTGCTTGATTATGAGGTGCTAGATGTGATGGTCCTGGTATATCAGGATCGTACATCTCATCGATTATTTCGCGCCACTGTGTTGTGCTTCCAAAGAGATCGGTGCCCATATTGTTGAAGTTTGGTCTTGTTGGTTGGGATATGTGTGGGTGGTGGAGTGGTTAATAGTATTGGGATGTTGAATCATGATGAAAACGAAGCAACAGTTCTTGTGGTGTATGAAATTCGTATGATGGTTGGGTACTTCGATGGTATGATGTTTAACTGTATGTAGGTTGAGTGGTATGGTAAGAAGGAGATGTATCATATGTGTCTTGGGTGTTGTGGTAGGATGAAGATGGTGCATATTGTTGGTGGTGGGTCAGGTCATGCTCTTGGTATTGTGTTTGTGTTTGTGGCATGAACTGATGACGAGTTTGGTTGAATGAGGTGGTGTATGGTTGTTGGGTTTGAGTGGGTTGACATTGTGGTTGGGTTTGGTACTGTTGAGGGGTTGGTTGTTGGGTTTGGTATTGTTGAGGGGTTGGTTGTTGGGGTTGTTGTTGGGTGTATGTTGTAGCTCTTTGGCGTGGGTCAATCAAATAAGTCTCTTGAGACAAACAAATTTGTTGAAACCGATGTGTACCATCTCAAATATTGGAACGTCGGTTTTAAGTCATCTTGCAAGATCGACTCCCTTAGGACCAATTCACGTCTATGCCTCCATTGACGACATTGATTTTTAGCGAAGTCTCTCAAATCGTTAAATCCTCACTGGTCGTCAACTCTGAGTAGATGCCATTGGCCCAAACATGTTAGGGGATCGGGGATACCCTGTTGCATGCCGAACTGTAGCTTCACATGATCACCGTGGTGCATCTCCACAGTAGTGAACCTGATGAGTGCTATTTTTGCAGTCCAGACTTCAGCATCAGGAGGGTTAATCTCATGGTCGGGATCCTTATACGGCCTTCATACAAACTGTAGAGTAAAAAAAGTTATATAAAATATTAAACTTAATTAAAATATTGAATGCGTTGTATAAAATATGTAAGTTTAATACCTCTTCGGGTCCAACATGATCAATAAGATTTCGGTAGACTACTATTGCGTTTCTAGGGGATTTGTTGCAATTCATCCCAGGAACAGACCACCTACATAGAAAAAATGGGTAATAAATTAATACACTACATGTCTCGGTATATAATATGTAAAATTTATGGTTTTGTAATCTTACTTTGTAGCAAAGGGGAAGATGAATGGCCTTGTGTTGTGGGGGGCGAGTGTCGGCATTCTCGACCACCACCATGTCTGGAGCAAAAAGGCGCAAGAATAGAAAGAACAGCTACCGTTCGATGCATTTTTACACAAGGAACTATAAAGATGAGCCAAAACAACTGAACCCCAACTATATGTGTTTATTTTATCAAATTGTCTTAACAAGGGTAAATACATGATATTAACAGTATTACCCGTTGTTTCAGGAAATAAAAAATGGCCAAATAATATCATTATGTAACACCGAGCTTTCACAATTTTTTCTTACTCGGTAGAGTTTTCGGTTATTATGAGACTACTATGATATTCTCTAAGAAGACGAAGATTAATACCTTGGTCTCTTGATCCTTGTTCAAATAAAGAGACTCCCAAAAGTTCCTCGCATATGGCGTTGTCTTGGTTGACTTGGCCATTGACAGCCTTACCATCGATCAGTAGACCGAATAACATGTACATGTCCTCTAGTGTGACTGTACATTCACCACATGGAAGATGAAAGGTGTGAGTTTCGGGTCTCCATCTCTCCACTAATGCGAGAATAATTTTATAGTCAACATGGTAATTGACTATGTTGAGTAACGGACCAAAACCGGCATGTCGTAAGTACGGTTCAATTTGAACGTTGTAAGGGACATACTCATGGACACGATAACGAAATCTTTTAACATCCTATTAAAAACATGGATTACGTATAAGAAATACAAGATTTAGGTATAACAATCATAAGAATTAAGGAACAAAAAATTGTCGGCAAAAAATAGGTATTGAGGAAAATACACTTACAAAGGTTTCAATGTTGTTCGGAGTTCCTCTATGTTGATCACCCATGGTCAAGAGAGACGTTTTTCTTGATTACTCTTGTGTTGTTGTTGAGACTTCAAGAAATAAATAGTGTATGAGTTATGATTGTGATGAAAATATAGGGTGAATGTTACATGTATTTATAGGAAAATCTTGAAGAATACTTTGCATGCAACTTATACACATAGGCGCCACACTAGGTGGCGCGTGGTCTTCCTTATTGTACATAGGCGTCACACTAGGTGGCACATGCTCTCTTTATTGTACATAGGCGCCATTCAACATGGCTTCTTGCTTTTTGCATGCATGAAAACCTGCAGCGTGGCAGGGATCAGATGGCATGCATGCAAGTTTTGTTGTTCAATGACAAGCCACCCTAGGTGGCGCATGCATGCAAAAAGAGGAGGATAAGACCCCCTAGGTGGCGCATGCATACATAAAGAGGAGGATAAGCCACCTAGGGTGGCACATACATGAGAAAATAGGAGGATTAGCCACCTGGGGTGGCGCATGCATGCAGAATATCAGTTTATTTAATCGTCTGTGTAGGTTGCATTACTAGTATACATCCATAACTCACAAAAAACATACCTCAACAACATGGATCATTCACAAAATTATACTATTGTTTCCCATATTAACGGTGAGACGTTCAACTGCGATAACTTAGGTTTTAATTTCCGTAATACCGATTTTATCCGCTTTCGGATAAACAAGAAATCAAGTTTTGCACGCTTCAAAGATAGAGTAGAATCCAAATTGCAGTATGGTCCAGTTTACCAAATTTTTTACAAGTCCCCATTTCTATTTGACAACACCAAGTCAAATTTTATCAACTTAAGGTGCGTGACGATGATGATGTTCGAAACATGTTTCGAACTCATGAACAATCCGGGTTCGATGAGATTGAGTTGTATGTTTTATTACAACAACCAGATCAATCTCAAGTGGTAGATCCTTCTCAAGACTTTGAAGAAGAAGATGAATCTGACGAGGACAACCATCCTGAAGTCGATGTTATTGACAAAGAAGAAGAATATAATGAGGCAATGATTGATTTTATGGTCAATGATGACGTTGCAGATCAAGAGCATGAACCTATACCTGAAAGTCATGCGTATGACCCTCCGTTTCACATGACGAACTTGAACTTGAGGGAAGATGAATCAGCCTCATATATCTTTCATGATCCTTATATGCAGACCGAATGGGCCTTTAATGTTGGAGACAAATTTCGAACAAAAGAAGAGTGTCTTAGAGCTATCAAAAAATACCACATGGAAATTTTAGCTGACTTGATTGTAGATAAAAATAATTCAGGGAGGTACGTTATTTTATGTCGTCAAAAACCAATTTGCCCTTTTCGGTTAACTGCATCTTACAGGAAGATAAGTGATTCATGGGAAATAGGTTCCATTGATCCACTCCACACTTGCATCACCATTATTTCGACACAGGATCATCAGAAAGTTAGTTCTCAACTAATATGTCAAGAAGTCTTGCCTCTTATTAGCAAAGATCCATCATTAAAGGTGAGTACAATTATTTCTCATATCACTACGAGATTCAATTATACTCCCTGTTACAGGAAGGCATGGACCGGGAGGACTAAGGCAGTTGAATTTGTGTGCGGTAATTGGAAGGAATCGTACAAAGAACTTCCAAGATTTTTGGTGGCACTCAAATATTATGCTCCGGGAACTGTTATAATTTTGGAGACACTTCCGGCTTTTACCCCAGACAGAACTCGTGTTAGTGGGAATGGAATATTTCATTGATTGTTCTGGACGTTTGAACCATGCATCAAGGGTTTTTCATTTTGAAAACCTATTATACAAATTGATGGAACTTGGTTATACGAGAAGTATAAAGGAACATTACTCATGGCAGTGGCACAAGATGGGAACAATAATGTTTTTCTGATTGCCTTTGCTCTAGTTGAAGGTGAGACAGGTGGTGCATGGAATTTCTTTCTGAAGAATCTCCGATTACACGTTGCTCCACAACCCAACCTTTGTTTGATTTCAGACAGACATCCATCAATTGTGAGTGCATACAATAACCCTGATAACGGTTGGCAGGATCCCCCTTCGACACATGTCTATTGCATTAGACATATCACACAAAACTTCATGCTCCATATCAAAGACAAGACACTTCGAAAGAAAGTTATTAATGCAGGTATGCCATAACAGAACCGTCATTCCGATACTATCGCATAGAAATCCGGTTGGCAAACTCAGAAGCATTAAGGTGGACCGATAACATTCCAGTGGAGAAGTGGACTCGGGAATTTGACAATGGTCAACGATGGGGCCACATGACAACAAATCTGGTGGAATCATTAAACTCTGTATTCAAAGGCATCTGAAACCTACCAATTACC